ACATACATACATCCAACCAACCAATCATCCATTGAACCAACCAACCATCATACCAACAATCCAACCATCAATCATCCATCCAACCAACCAACATTCATACCAACAATCCAACCATCCATCTACCCAACCAAGCAACCAACCATCCAACTAACCAATCATCAAAACAAACATCCAACTAACCAACCAACCATCCATCCATACATCATCCATCCATCTATCCATAGCTGAACTGGTGTATATATATTCTAAATAAATTTACTATTTTAAGCAAAAAGAAAGCAAAGAGAATTATAATTAAGATATAATAGATTTAATGTAAAATTTCCATCCATCCATCATCTTCCTCTTGTTCCGAAGTCAGGTCTTGGGGGCAGCAGCTTGAGCAGGAATGTCCAGACATCTCTTTCCATAGCCACCTCTTCCAGCTTTTCTGGGAGGTCTCCAAGGTGTTCCCAGGCCAACTGAGAGACATGGTCTCTCCAGTGTGTCCTGGGCATTCCCTGGGGTCTCCTCCCTGTTGGACATGCTCAAAGCACTTTCCTAGGGAGGCGCCCAGGGAGCATCCTTACCAGATACCCGAACCACCTCAACTGGCTCCTCTTAATATGGAGGAGCAGTGATTCAACTCCGAGTCTCTCCCGGTTAACTGAACTTCTCACCCTATCTCGTGAACAAAACCCCAAGATACTTGAACTCCTCCACTTGAGGCAGAACCCCACCCTTGACCCGAAGAGAGCAATCCACCCTTTTCCAACAGAGGACCATGGCCTTAGATTGGGAGGTGCTGATTCTCATCCCAGCCGCTTCACACTCGCTGTAAACCACTCCAGTGAGAGCTGAAGATCACGGCACGATGACGCCAAAAGGACCACATCATCTGCAAAGAGCAGAGATGGAATTCTGAGGCCACTGAACCAGACTCCCTCCACCCCCTGGCTGCACCGTGAAATTCTGTCTATAAAAGTTATGAACAGAATATGTGACAACGAGCAGTCCTGGAGGAGTCCAACTCCCACCCTGAAGGGGTCCGACTTACTATCAGCAATGCGAGCCAAACTCTTGCACCGCTTGTATAGAGACCGAACAACCTGTAACAACATGCCCCCAATCCCACACTCACGGGGCACCCCCCACAGTGTACCCCAAAGAACACGGTTGAATGTCTGAACCTAGTGAGGGTAAAGAGCTGGTCCAGTGTTCCACAGCCAGGATAGAACCTGCATTGTTCCTCCTGGATCTGAGGTTCAACTAGTGATCGGACTGACTTTTCCAGTACCCCTGAATACACCTTACCACAGAGGCTAAGGAGAGTGATGCCCCTGTAATTGGGGCACACCCTCTGGTCACACTTTTTGAAGAGGGGAACCACCACCCCAGTCTGCCAATACAATGGCACTGCCCCCATTGTCCACATGATGTTGCACAATCAATTCAATTCAATTTATTTCTATATTTCCAAGTCACAACAGAAGTCATCTCAGGGCACTAAACATAAACATTCATATGTAAAAATAATAATTTAACATTATTTATCTGAGGAGCAGACCACATTGAATTTAACTCCATCACAGAACTCTCATGTTGAACAAGCATGAAGGTGACAGTGGAAAGGAAAAACTCCCTCATGAGGAAGAAACCTTTAGCAGAACCGGGCTCAGGACAAGCGGTCATCTGCTCGACCGGCTGGGTTTGGTAGGAACAGATACACAATGGCAGGTCAAGAATCACGTTAAGATAGAAATAGTATTAGAGCTGGAGGCCAGATTAATGCCATCCAAGGAGGGCGAAAGACTGAAAAATGTATTCCCAAGATGCTCAGGTTCAAAAACTAAAACCTCAGACATCCCCATGGAGAACTTTCAGTTTGATCAAAACTCTAATTTAAATCACAACCTGCTTCACAGAACAGAGCAGGCTTACTTTTCAGGCTGTGTTTCTGTCTGCATTAGCATTCATTCAACCTTTATTTCTACAGGTTAGTCTCAATGAGCCTCGAGGACTCTGTGTTTGGACCCTGGTTCTCCCAGAGTCCTGCTGGGCTTCAGCTGCAGCGTCCAGGACCAACATCCAGCTTCTTCTTTGTGTGATAGAGCTTTAAGCAACGCACGTGTTTTCTTGTTTCTGTTTGAACACACGCACAGATTGTGTTCAGCACACGCACACCTGTGCCAGGTGAGATGAAAGGACGCTTCAAACACACCGACAGACCCGGTTCTGCAGCTGATCTCCTGACTGACGGTTCTGATCTCAGCTGCAGAACCTCCAACCAGCAGGAGAAGGAGGTCAGAGCTTCGTCCTCCTCTTCCTCGCGGAGTTTTTTAGGCTCCGGTTCCTCCTGGTTACATAACCGAGCCGTCAGTCCCGGTGCTCCCCCTGCAGACCCCCCGGAGGAGCGAACCTTCGCCGGGACTCGGAGAGAAGTGGCTCCGCAGAACCACAAACATTCACCTTCCAATAAAACATAAAACTCCCCTGGCTGGAAAACCACGACCGGAGTCCGGTACGTGAACTCACCACCGCCACTCCGACCTTCGGACCGAAGTTGGACCAGAACCGAACGGGTCGTTTTCGCTGAACCAGTTCCATCCAAAAGAACCAACTAACCTTTAAAAGCCACTCACCGTTTCACGGAGGAGTCCGACTCTTCAGAACCGTTCGATCCGAACGGGAAACGGTGGAAAACTCCCAGGAAAGAGGCGTTATTCCTCCCGCTGGAAAAGAGCCAGAAAAGTTCCGTTTCCGTCAAACTCCGGGACACAAACGTCACGGTTCCACCCGCGCTCGTGTTTACCGGAACATTTCCGGACAGAAATCTAACTTTAAGGCTTTAAAAATCTCCGTCTTCCCCCGATTCTCCCTCCTCTCCCTGAATGCCACATTCTCTCCGCTGGATTCTCCCGTTTACACACGCTGTCAAGGTTCCGTAAATGCAACGTAAAACTTCCGTGTGGGCTTTTCAAAATAAAATCGCACGTTGTTTATTTTTATAATTTTAATTCATCCGTGAAAGTCGTGCAGATGTTTTGATTACTTTGTATTGATCTCAAAAACATTTTATTAACTTTTTATATTCTTAATTATTAATATAAATGAGTTACTTGTAAATAATCTTGTTACACCCGCAAAGGTTTTATCCACTTCCTGTTTTCTTCTTCTTCTTCTGCATCAGCTTCATGAAGCTTCAGTGACCCACATTCTCTCCGAGGTGATTATTATGTTCCAATCAGTTAATAATAATAAAAATAATAAAAAGACGTTCTTCAGGTTGGACACATTTTGTCCCTGAAAGACGTGGACAGATAGTGTCCTCCTCAGGGCAGATGAAGACAAAAGTTCCTCCTTGTTGTTGGGACCGAAATAAACTAATAACAAAAATAATAAACAAATGAAACTCATGAATCCAAAATTAAATTATCTTTTAATCAAAACATAGAATTTAAATCAAAAAAGTTCAAATGAGCAGAAAAACAGATTATTTACATTTTGACCGCAGCAAAGATGATTTATAACAGGCCATTCAAATAGCGGCCCGCGGGTGTTTTCAGTCCGGCCCACCAATGAGTTCATAAAAAATATATACATACAGTATTTTTTTTTTTTGTGGGGTGGGGGGTGGGTCTGAGTTTGGGTTCTGCTTATTGCATTTATAATCCAATGCAATAAAACAAAACAAATTTAAAAGGTGACAGATGATTGTAATAGTTTATTTACTAAATCAGGTCTCTCTTGTAAATGAGTCCTCGAGGCTCAATGGGATTTACCTGTATAAATAAAGGTTGACTGACTAAATGACTAACTGCTGGATGTGTGCTGAGGTGGAGCAGGTCAGCAGCTTCAAGTTCCTCAGCATTCACATCACTGAGGATCTGTCCTGGGCTTTACAAACAGACGCTGGGGTCAAGAAAGTCAGACAAAGACTCTACTTCCTAAGAAGACTAAAGGAGTTTGGTACAAACACCAGCATCCTCACCAACTTTTATCGGTGCACCGTTGAGAGCCTGCATCACAGGGTGGTACGGGAACTGCACCAGTCAGAGCCAGAAAGCTCTACAGTGGGTGGTGCAAACAGCAGAGGACATTACTGGTAGCAGTCTCCGCACTATCCAGGACATCTCCCACAACCGATGTCTGTGTAAAGCACGCAGCATCATTTAGGACCACACCCACCCAGCACAAGGACTCTTCCATCTACTACCCTCAGGCAGACGATACAGGAGTCTGTCATCGTGCACAAAATGACTCAAACAGTTATCATCCACAAGCTGTCAGATTACTGAACTCTTGACAAATAACACTGAAAATAACATCAAGACACATCTGTGACAACTAATGTTTATTATTTATTGCTGCTGCACCAAGTGGCTGTATCATGCATGATACAGTATCTATGCATCTACCTTACCATCATTAAATCTCATCTTCACTATATCTGTACAATAACCTGTCACACAACATGTGTAGTTTGTTAATTATGTGCAATATATAAATATATAAATATATATATATATATATATATAAATATATATATATATATATATATATATATATATATATATGTGTGTGTGTGTGTGTGTGTGTGTGTGTGTGTGTGTGCATTTTAGCTTATATTACTACCTTGAGATACTTATTCATTCAAATTCATCATGCTGCACCGTTATATTCTACCATGTTGTTGTTTACTATCTCTCTTTAGGACGTTATAAATATTAGAATTACTTTTTCACTTTTTGGTACTTTTATTTGTGTACCCCAATTGCTTTTAGTATTTTCTTGTTTTTGTAGTTGTTGTTTTTAGCGAGTCAAATTGGTTCTTCTCATCCTGAGCATTTCATTGTACTGTTAACCCTGTGTTAACCTGCATATGACAAATAAACAACGTAACAAATAAACAACATAAATGAACAATACAACAATAAACAACACAACAGCAGTTTAGTTGATTTATGAAGATGTTTTTAAATCTTCTCCTTCAAATGTTAAAATGTTTAATTGTCCAGCAGATCTCAGAACAGCCCACAGCGGCAGGAAGCTGTAAACCAGTTCGACCTGGTCCTGGTACAAAAAAGAACCAGGTCCGACACTGGATAGCTCTTGGGTGTTGTGAGCTCGGAGGTTCTGCAGAACTCACTCCACCTCCTCCTCCTGACTGATGATCATCATCTGGACGCTGTGGCTGCCCGGCAGACTGGACCCGGCCAGCTCAGGTTCTTCAGCACCGAACTCGTCCAGCTGGACTTCGACACAGTTCAGGTTCCACCTGTGGAGCAGAACCTGGATGGACCAGTCGGCGCTGGAACCAGAGAAGGTAGAGTGTTAAATCGAGGAGAACGTTTTGAACGGACCTGGAGGACTCGAACAGCAGCTGTACCTTCGGACTTGGTACGTTGTCCAGAACTGAGCCTTTGGGTTCTTCCTCAGGAGACAAAGGAACGTCACGAGAACGTCTTCAAAATCTGAGACAGTCAACATGATCAGCTGACAAACGGTCCCTGCTAAAGAAACTCTTGAAGTTTTGACACAAAGAAAACCTGCGTCTCCATCACAGACCAGAAGACAAACAACCAGAAGACAAACGACCAGAAGACAAACGTCCAGAAGACAAATGTCCAGAAGACAAACAACCAGAAGACAAACGACCCCCGCTGTTCTTTAAACCTGGATTATTGAGCAGCATCAGGACGTTACAGGAGTCGGCTCCTACTTCCTGTTGAGTCTCAGAATATAAAGTTGTTGGACGCCGTCCCCCTTCAGCAGAGACGTTTAGAGGAAATCGTTTGTTTTGGATCTGGAGACGTCAAACGTCTCTGATTTTTATCATTTTAAAGAAATGGGACAGGCAGCGTCAACAGGCTGCAGAGAAAGAGGTCACTTTGAGCTGGACAGATGGAGACACAAACAGACCTTCAGGATCGTAGAAGACATCTGATCCAAGGACGACGTCCAGCTCCGGGAGCAGGATGAGATCCGGGGACACGTCCCCCCAGGTGAGAGCCAGAACACGGACATCCTGCAGCCCGTTGGCCTCACAGCTCCTCCGGCAGTTCTCCAGACACCGAGGCTCGTCTGAACGGTCGGACAGGATCACCTGCGCACCGCAGCGCGCCGCCACCACGCCTGGCAGACTCACTCCTGCACCGAGCTGAGGACAGGACAGGGGACACACTGTGGACAGCAGGACACTAAATATCTGCTCTGAGCTCTATCTGAAGTCTTTAAACTCCAAGCTGAACAAGTCCTGGTTGTAGAGGAGCGCTCCTCACCTCCAGCACCGTCCTGCCGGTCAGCTCGGCTCTGCGGGTCCACAGGTACTGGGCCAGAACCACCGCACAGGGCCACACGTGCATCCCGTGCTGCGGGTCCAGAACCTGAGACAAAGGATCAGGGAGCGAATGAATCAGAACCAAAGACCTAAAACACAGAACAGTTCTCAGCAAGGTCACAGCAAAAACAAGACACTTTATATTTATGTATGTTTTTAATTAATAAAAGTCAGAGTCCCATTTTCTTTCACTTTAGAAAATTATAAATGGGGCAGCACGGTGGTGCAGTTGGTAGAGCTGCCGCCTCTCAGCAAGCAGGTTGCCTCGGTTCAAATCCCGGCCCGGGACCTTTCTGAGAGTGCAGTTTGCATGTTCTCTCCATGTTGCGTGGGTTTTCTCCAGGAACTCCAGTTTCCTCCCACAGAACAAAAACATACGTATGGCTGATTGGTGACTCTAAATTGTCCCTAGGTGTCCCTGTGACGGACTGGAGACCTGTCCAGGTGTCCCTGTGACGGACTGGAGACCTGTCCAGGTGTCCCTGTGATGGACTGGAGACCTGTCCAGGGTGTCCCCCGCCTCTCACACAGTGACTGTTGGGCACCAGTGACCCCCCGAGACCCAAAAAGTAAGAAGTGTGTAAAGATTATGGAAAAAAATAAATGACTAAAGGTCTAAACATAAACATAAATAACTTTGCTTTAATTAACTTTGCACATTCTTTAAGTGTGATATTTGTACATGCAAAAAGATCTGAAGCTCTCGACCTTGACCTGTTCCTGCACAAACCAACGCAGACATGTTCCTGTTTTTAGTTTTCTACATTGCCTTATAACCTAGCTGTTTTTCTTTTGTTTTTTTAATATCATTTTCTTTCACTCGTTCTTCTCAGTTTATGCTTTCTTTATGTCCACTGTTGTCATCACTCTTTGTTCAGTCAGGTCTCTCTGTAAATGAGTCCTGGAGGCTCAATGAGACTAACCTGTAGAAATAAAGGTTGAATTAATTAATGAATGTGTGAAGAACTAACGTGTTTAAAACCTCAGTTTGTAGCTTTATCAAAAAACATCAGCAGTGATTGATCCGAGTTATTTTTTATTTAAATATTTAGAGTTTAGGATGAAACAGACCTCCGGTATGGAGACAGAAAGCGTCTCCTGACTGTTTTTATCTTCAAACGTGAAAACTTTGTTGGAAACTTCAGGCGTTTCAGCTTCACTCTGCTCCATCGTTCCGGTTAGCTCGGCTAACAAGCTAACACACGCTAACACATGCTAACGGTAAACAATTACATCACCGGTTTACTTTACTCTTCGTAATAAATGCTCCGACTTTCATTCAAATGTTGATTCTCGTGATATTTTTCAGCGACAGCCACGCTTATTCTTCTTCTACGGTGAACAACAAAACATAGACATTCATTAAATAGACGCGGATGACCAGAGGTTAGTCCGGACCGCCGCCATATTGGAGAGGGAAAGAGATCAGAACAGTCCAAAGAACAGAAAATACCTTTAGAAGGATTTTATTCTGTAAGTTTATACTGTACAGCTGTAGTTGAACTGGTGTGTATTAAAAAAAATACTATTTTAAACAAAAATGAAGAAAACAAACTTGTAATTACAATGTAATAGATTTAATGTCAAATTTCCATCCATCCATCATCTTCCTCTTGTTCTGAAGTCAGGTCTTGTGGCAGCATATTGAGCAGGGAGGTCTACACTTCTCTTTCCACAGCCACCTCGTCCAGCTCTTCTGGGAGGACTCCCAGATGTTCCCAGGCCAAACTGAGAGATGTAGTTTCTCCAGCGCGTCCTGGGTCTTCTCCAGATCAGACATGCCTGAAGCACCTCCCGAGGGAGGTGCCCAGGGAGCATCTTTACCAGAGGAGCAGCGGATCTACTCTGAGTCTCTCCTGATAACTGAACTTCTCACCTGATCTCTAAGGGAGAGTCCAGCTACCCTGCAGAGGAAACTCATTTCAACCTCCTGTATCCACGATCTCATTATTTCAGTTACTACCCAGAGTTCATGACCAGAGGTGAGGAACGTAAACCGAGAGCTTTGCCTTACATTTGTTCATTCAACCTTTATTTATACGGGTTAGTCTCACTGAGCCTCGAGGACTCATTTACAAGAGAGACCTGTTTTAAACAGAACACAGATGAGGAACAGACAACAGTAGACAATCCTATAAAACATATAAACAGCTACATTATAAACATGTCTGCCTTACAGCTCAGCTCCCTCTTCACCACAACGGACCAGCACGACATGTATGCCAGTGGAGCGCCAGATAAGATGAAATTTATTAAAATTAAGTGGAATATCAAAGTACGTCTTCATTTATTTTATTGGCCTTTTTTTTCCCCTACAAAATTGTACTTATAATTTTCTAAATATTTAAATAAATAAATAAATACAGAATAAAATTAATCATACACAAAACATTGCATTACATTAATTAAGATAATAAAATAAAGCGATGCTCAGTAATACCAATATAAAAGTCGCATTGCAGAGATTTTTAATTGCAACAATTTAAGAAAAAATCAAAAAGAGAGACTTTTTTAGCATTCATATTCTACTGTTAAAATAATAAAGCTCAAGACAATGGCTATCAAACTAATTCATTCATTCAACCTTTATTTATACAGGTTAATCCCACTGAGCCTCAGGGACTCATTTACAAGAGATACTGTATATGTCTATAGTTGGCTCTGTCTCCCCTCCCAATATGGCGCATTCCGCCGTATTCCTCCATGCACTGTCTACACTTGGATCTACGTTCTTTATGTTTATGACAAAAAAAAGCGACCTCAACTAGGTCAAGGGTCGAACATCGTTTTTGTAACCCAATCAGCGTTAAGCTTTAAATGCCTTTGCAGCCAATCAGCTTCCAGAATATTTATTATGGGCGGGTCTTATCGCGTTATCAATTTTAAAAGCACAGTATCCACCGCTGTTAGCAGTTTGCTAAACTTTACAGAGCAGCAGAAATCTGGTGATATAAATCCGAGGACGCCTTCAAGATCCTGCTCAGCGTGTGTTATTGGGACAATCAGACGTGTAGGGAGGTTTTTTTTCAGTGTGGCTAGTGACTGTAGCCCCGGGTTAGCTTGATAACAAAAACGCAGGAGGAAGAAATGAACCATAAAAGTAAGAAGAGATTAAAAGAGGCGAAACGGAGCGCCAGGCCGGAGCTGAAGGACTCGCTAGACTGGATCAAACACGGCTACAATGAGACTTTCGACCTGTCACACCGCACCGTGAAGGTAACGCCATGTTGCTTCAGAGCAGAGCTAACTGGTTAGCAGCGGCTAGCACCGTTAGCCTGTGGGTGCTAGCCGCTGCTAACGGAGTGCAGCTGGTCACGTAGTTCATGCAGGAGCTGCTGTTTCAGCTCTTTGAACGTTTTAACAGGAATAAAACAAAGTTAACGAGGCAAACGTGGATTATAATCTGAGCTAATGAGTGGAATGTTCTGAATCCCGGTTTTAAACTTTTTTTAAATGAATTATTGTGCCATGTTTTACCCCAACTTTAACTTTATTATTATTTAACTTGGTTCAGTTCATGACACGTGACTGTATTTCCAATTAAAAGTAATTTGATGAAACGATTCAGCTTTTTAATTGATTTACCTCAATACTGCAATATTTTATAACTTTCATTCAACCTTTATTTCTTCAGGTTAGTCCCATTGAGCTGCGAGGACTCGTTTACAAGAGAGACCTGATTTAAAGAGTGATGATGATAATGGTAGACCATCATAAAATAAAGCATATAAACTGAAAAACAAAATGTATATGGAAGAAAATTATATTAACCTTCTAAGACCTGAACTCTTGCATATGTGGATGCCATGTCCAAGGAGGTTAAAAACAAGAAAACGACACAGAGCAACATTACAGAGCGATGTAGAAAACTAAAAACAGGAACATGTCTGGGTTGGGTTTTGCATGAACTTAGCAGATGTTTGAAGAGAGGTCGAGATCTTCAGATCTTTTTACAAGATGTTCTAGGAAACTGGAGCGGAGTAGGAGAAGGCCCTTTTGCCAAGTTTCATGATGTAATCTGAATATTAAACCGTTAATTGTTAAGACAAATTTGTTTTACGTTAAAACTTGGATAAATGCTGTTTATGGATCTGATCGGGTTGTGGAATATTTTCAGTTTGATTTGGAATTTCTTTCAACTTATTTTTTACAACAGCTGTTAAATCTGATGTTTTTATTTAAATTCTTAAATGATCTGAAAACAAAAGTTGTCAGTTGGGTGTGTTTTTTAGTTTTCTGACTTGAAACTGATGTTTTTTTTTTACTGTAATCCGTCTTTAAATGATAATCTCTGTTCACGTCAGTTTGATCTCCAGGGTGGCAGGAAGTGTTTTCATGTGAAGATGGACTTTGACTTTACACACCTGACTCTGAACAAAGTGCGGATCTGAGTCGTAACTGTGTGAACCGTCTGGTTCTGGATGGGTTTTATGTGGGTCTGAGCCCGGTTCCTCAGTTTGGGTCGTGTTCATCCCTTCAGACTCTAGTTATTGAGTTGATGGCTGAATGTTTTTCATCCAGCTTGACTGAAGGACACGTCTTCAGTGTTAGTCTTTATGAGCATGTCCTCTGTTCCAGGACAATGTGGAGCGCGTGGACGCGCTCCGTCTTGCTCCAGAAGAGTTCATCCAGCGCTTTGAGCGGCCCTACAAACCCGTAGTCCTGCTCAACTGCCAGGAGAGTTGGCCTGCCCGCGAAAAATGGACCCTGGAGCGCCTCAAACGCAAATACCGCAACCAGAAGTTCAAGTGCGGGGAGGACAACGACGGCTACTCTGTGAAGATGAAGATGAAGTACTACGTAGAGTACCTGGAGTCCACCAGAGATGACAGTCCGCTCTACATCTTTGACAGCAGCTACGGCGAGCACGCCAAGCGACGGAAGCTGCTGGAGGACTACGAGGTGCCCGTGTTCTTCATGGATGACCTGTTCCAGTTCGCAGGAGAGAAACGCCGCCCACCGTACAGGTCCGGGGTTAAACCATCGAGTCTGGTTCAGTCTTCTGCAGAGTCTGCTTTCTGTTTCTAGTTTATATTTCTCATTTATCCCATCAGATGGTTCGTGATGGGCCCGGCCCGTTCTGGTACCGGTATCCACATTGACCCACTTGGCACCAGTGCCTGGAACGCCCTGGTCCAGGGCCACAAGAGGTGGTGTCTGTTCCCCACCAACACGCCGCGAGAGCTCATCAAAGTGACCCGAGAGGACGGGGGGAACCAGCAGGACGAGGCTATCACCTGGTTCAACGTGATCTACCCCCGAACGCAGCAGCCGTCCTGGCCCCAGGAGTTCAGACCGCTGGAGATCCTGCAGAGACCCGGAGAGACCGTCTTCGTTCCGGGTCAGTGAAGCTGCTCTCACTGTAGATGTTTTTATTTAGAACATCCTAAACCAGTGTTTATTGTTTTAACACGCAAAAAAGTCTGCATCTGCTCCAGAATGAAAAAACTGAAATTTAACGAAAACTGTTAAAAGAACAGTCGTCAGAAAATTAATCTTTTTATTTAAATTATGATAAAAATCTGAGTAGAATTTATGAATTGGGATTATTTTTCATTATTCTACTTTTGTGTTGCTTTGAGATTTACCTGTAGCGGTGAAAGAAAACGGATTCCTCGGGTGTAAAAACGTTTTTAATGATCAGAAGAAAAACGGAGTTTGTTGCTTTATAAGTTGATCTAAGTTACTATGATAAAAATCCAGAAAAACATGTAAAATAATGTCAGTACTATTTAAAATACTATTTGTGACAACTGCTTCACTAGTCTCAGCTTGGTCCAGAGCTTGCACACATCTCTGGGTGTCAGTGCAGGTACCGTACGGCCAGACCGTGCTGGTGGAGCTCCTCTGATGATGGACAAAGAACCAATGAGAGAGGACCGTTGAGCCTGATGACAGGTCTGCTGAAGTGGTGGTTGCAGTAAAATAGTTTGACAACAAATGTGTCAACCTTCTGAGCAACTTGTGGGATCATCATGCCTCTTTCAACTGGTGGAGCAAGGAGTCCAATACAAAAATGGCTGTCCCATGCCCATCACTCGTCCTGCTTACAATGAGCATGGGAGGAACTGATCCTTCTGACATGCTGTGCTGGTACACCTGTACAAGACCCCAGCTAAGGCCAGGAGATGGTATATTCCCCTGTTAGGATACATCCTTGACCTGTGCACTGGGACTGTGGGCTTCTCAACCAGAAGCTGATGTTCTGTTTAATGCCCCTGTACTTAAACACATACCAGTATTTACTGTACACAGAAATATATATATATATATATATATATATATATATTTTACTTTTATTTCAATATGTACCAGTCTTGACTGACTGCTATTAAAAATAAATCTGACAACTTCTCCACCGTTGAGCTCTCATGACGGGAAGGGGAATGGGGGAAGACTCTGCTTCGTGTTCGGATGTGACTTTAAAATGAGATCTTGATATTTAAACGCATATTTACTGACACAGAAATATGTCGCACAGAAAGAATTTTTAATTTTATTAAAACATGTACTGGACTTGACTGCTTTGCGTCTCCAATCCTGACCATCGACATGTTGATGCATCTACATGCAGCCGTTTCCTCCTTCAGCCGATCGCTTTTAACATGAAAACTGCGTGATAAGAAATTCTCTGTGCGTTTTCCATCATCTCTGAACAAATGAACAGGTCTGTGCATGAAGCGCAAAATCCTGTAACAACACGGAGACGATCTGAAAAAATTGATGCATGTCTATGTCGGGGGATGGTCCTCGTGAGTACCTCGTTGGTCATTCAGGTTAGACTTCTGGTCACATGATGTGAGTGGGTGGAGTTATGGTTGGATATTTGAAACCCTGAGCAAGAGTCGTCCATCCGATTACCTGAGCATTCTCTCTCTGTCACAAACGTCTGCCCCCATGAGGGGTGGGGTGCTTGGAGCCACAAGCTCTGTCAAAGAAAATGTTAGTCAGTGGCAGGAAGCTACTGAGACAACAGGAAGTCCTTCAAAATAAAATGTGAAAATATACATTTTGAAAATCATGAAAAAATAGTATAAATAAGACGCTCCTGCATATAAACAGCGGGGTACAAAGAGTGAGACAAAAGTAGCGGCTTGTACACCAGCAATTACGGTAATGCTTGGAATCACACCAGTGAGGTGTGTTGAGTTGGAAAGTTTGGAACATTTTTAATAAGTTTAGCACAGTTTTATTATGTTTGGATATTTTACAAGTTTAAATCAAATCCAACACTACAGCTTGAATCAAGCCACCAGAAATGTGGCTCTTGTTCCTAAATTATGTAACAAGTCCACCACAAGTGAGCTTTCGTGAGATTTGTAAGAAATGGAACCGTTTCCTCTGTTGCACGACCTTGATTAGTTTTTATTACAAAAGTCAATGTTTTGCACAAGAGCACTCAGTCAGGGGTCGACTTAATTTGAGCTGTTGCACTTTGTTCCATGCCATCAACCTGAAATTTAATAAATGCAAGATTTAATAATTTCTGTATTTTCTTTTGTTTAAAAAAAAAATGTTGTTGGCAAACTACAAGAAATAAAATATATTCAATGTCCTGGATTTTCCTTTTTGTATTTGTAATTGTACATTAAGTGACATCTCAACCGTTTGGTCGAGGTCCAGATTTTCAGAATGTGTTAGTAACGTGTTTGTTATAAAAGTTGGTGATTCGTTGTCGTCACCCACAGAAATAAGAAATGCAGAAACACATTTTCAGTTTTTCTCGGTGGGGCAGTTCAGTTAAAGGGTTAAATTTAAATAAATCTTCAAATCGGTTTGAGTCTGATCATCAGTAAATCAGTGAACAGATGGTCGTCTGTCCCAGCAGAGACCAACACCTGTTCTGGTTCTGAAGACTGTGGCTCTGACCCATATTCACCTAAAGCATCAGAGCAGACGAGGTCGGATTAGACTGATCGCAGACAAAGCTCCAGGAATTAGACCCTGACCGTCTGTAGCCCCGAGACGGCCTGTCCTGAACTCCCATCGGTTCAGAGTCAACAGAACCTTGTGGACCTCCTGATCCAGATTCTGATAATCCTGACTGCCTCTGGTCCTTTACAGCGGTCTGGATCAGCAGTTTTCAGAACCGGTTTTGTTCTGATGAACACGAGTCTTAAGTGGTTCTGGTTGGTTCCATCTTGTCTCTGGGTTTGACATCCTGTCGTTGTCTTTTAGGTGGGTGGTGGCACGTGGTGCTCAACTTGGACACAGCGATCGCCATCACTCAGAACTTCGCCAGCTCCACCAACTTCCCCATCGTCTGGCACAAAACGGTCCGAGGACGACCCAAACTGTCCAGGAAGTGGTACCGGTACGTCCTCATGTCTGAATCGTCAGGACGCCGAGTGATCCGAGCTAGCGTCACGTTCTGCTGCTGCTCGGCTTTTGATAAATATTCAGTCACTAAAATAAAGTTTCTGAACATTCAAGTGAATTCTGTTCAAAATTCTATTTTTATAATTTTTTTTTAAATAAAAAAGTTTCTGAAATTACAGAAAACGTGGAGCAATTCCTGTAAACTGTGAAACTTCAGTTTAGACATTTACTCCTAACGTTAAGGGTGAAACCCCACGTGGGTCATTTTGACCCGAGGGCAGCGGGAGGAGAATCAAACCTGTGGAACACGGCGTGATGTTGAGCTAAATGGTGAAATTGGCTGAAGAAGCTAAAACCAGCAGGACTGTAAAATGTACCGGGTCAAACGGCTGAAGCAGAGACGTGGTTCTGTTCGGACCTTTCTCTGAATTAAAGAACGTTTTTATGCGAACGTCTGCAGAAGATTGTAAAACAAACTGAACTGTTTGTTTTGGGTCACTTCGATCAGTTTACATTCAGACGCCTGTTCTCGAGGTTCTGACCCGTTTCGTTGGCTTTGTTCTGTGGGATCAACAGGGAAAGGTTCAAAGCTGTTGTTGTTGTTTCAGAGTTCTGAAGCAGGAGCGTCCGGACCTGGCGGCGCTGGCTGACAAAGTGGACCTGCAGGAGTCCACCGGCATCGCCTCGGACAGCTCCAGTGACTCTTCGTCCTCGTCTTCGTCGAGCTCGTCGGACTCTAATTCTGATGTGAGTTCTGAAACGACACGGACCTGTTGCTCCTTTTTGTCCTGCGGCAGCACCCATAGGGCCCTGGTACCGTAACAGACGGCGTGGAGCGCAGCGAGCCTCGTTTTGTTCAGGCTCGTGACAAAAGTCGATTTTTGCTTCAGCATCAGGAAGTTTAACGAGCGGGAAAATGACGACGCTCCGACCCCCAGGACCCTGCGGTCCTTTAGGATCAGTTATTTAGATGAACGAGGAGCACCTGGACAGGTGTTTGACTCGAGCAGTAAAATGTTCAGACGTTTAAACCTGAGCCTGAATTTTTCCTCAGAACCATCTTCAGTCTTTTAAATGGACCCTTTTCTCTCCTCCAGACGTTCCTGTGAGCATTCTGGATCCACGGGTCTCCAGACACTCCTTGTTGAGTCCAGTCTCGGTGTGTAACTCGTGTTTTCGTGTCTCCTGCAGGCCGAGTCGGGTTCTGAGGGCGATGCCGTCTCCCACCGCAGGAAGAAGAGGCGAACCTGCGGGACGATGGCTAACGGAGACTCCACCAGCCAGGACGACTGCATCAGCAAGGAGAGGTGCTCGTCACGGTGACCCTCGCCTGTCCGGACCTCCAGCTGGTCCGGGTCCTGATCTGGTCCGGCTGTCTTCAGAGGCTCTCCTCCTGGGCCAGGTCCTGCTGCAGACCTGCATCACTGTGCTTTTAAAGCGACTGAACCTTTGGGGGGAGGGTCGACGCAGCGGCACCGCCTTTGACTCTAAATCACATTTTCTGTCAGTTCAGGCCAAAATGAACCGTTCGTTGCTGCGTTCAAGTCAGCTCGGAGATCAGAGACTCCTGAGAGTGCACTGGAACTTTAACGCCACCTGCTTGTTGTTTTGTGTCATAACATTTAGTTTAAATTGAATTAAAGACCAACTTTAAGTTGTTTAACTTATTTTCACATCTGGTACAAACGTTTGGGTTTCTGACACCTGAGGTGAACAAACGCAGCATCAAACGGGGTTGCCTTCGTTTTTTAAACGCGATCAAAAGATCAGAAAACGGTTTTAAATGTTCTGCCGTTCACATGTTTCCTGAGTTTAAAGTTTCCCACATCGTTGTAGTTTCCAAAGAAAAGCCTTAAGATGAACTGAGTTCACGTGTTTGTGTGTCTGATTCTGCTCGGTTGGACGGTCCGGTCCAACCCTGTGAACCCTAAACCCAGAATCACATTGATCGAAGCTGATGAACGTTTCTGCTTCAGACCTGAGCTCTGGATATTTGTCTGTTCTGGAAAACCTCTTCAGATGTTCTGTAAAGTCTGATGAAAGAGAAAGTTCTGGGAGCCTGGCGCCTGGATGTGACCCGGTTCAGACGTTTTTATTCAACCCGATCACATGATGCCTCGGTTCTGATGTGGTCCAATTACTGCTGCTGAATAAAACCTTTTCTATCTGCCGTCCTGTCTCATTCCTTCATTTAAACTTCAACGATGAAGCATTCACACACAAACGTTCGGCTCTTTTGGTGCAACTTTAGCTTTTTGAAATATTTAGCCTTTTCTGACATTTTGTTCTCAGAAACTGAATTGAGCTCATTTTACATCCTTCACATCTTTAGATGTTTACAACCTTTTACTGCTCCTTTCACATTTTGTTCTGCTTCAGCTTCTTTCAGCTTCCTGCTGAAAATTTAAACTTTTTTCAGCTCCTGTGCTCCTTTCAGCGTTTTCTGCTATTTCAGCTACTATTGAGCTGTCTGCTGATTTTAGCATTTTAAGCCACACTTGTTTTTTTTCCTTTGTACCCCTCTTTTTTTGTGGCTAAGATTTTCGAGTGCAGGTCTGATACCAAGGGCCTCAGCAAGATCTATACACTGCTCAGTTCATACCATGAGTCCAGTCTGGACTCCCTTAAACTGAAATGGGAAGCGGACTTGGAGGAACCAAGATCAGACTCGATCTGGAGAAGGATCATTAAGAACATTTATTCATCCTCAATCTGTCCGAGACATGCTGTAATTCAACTGAAGGTAGTGCACAGGTTGCGCTGGTCCAAAGACAAGTTGTCCAAGATCAAGGCTGATCTGGACCCTGCATGCAATTGTTGCAAACGAACTTCAGCTACACTCCTGCATACCTTCTGGACCTGTCCCAAGCTGCGGACCTTCTCTGGAGTGTATGGACTGTACACCCATCACTGTTCAGGATGGTCCCAGTGGACATGCCCTTCAGCAACCGTGAGATGATGTGGTTGCCTTTGGCTCTCTTCTGGTTAGGAGGCTAATTTTATGCAATTGGAAGGACCCC